TGGTTATAATAGGTAATGCTGCAGTTCACATCTTTGTGCATGAAGTTTCTGGAATCTTTTTCTTTTTTGGAATCTTTTTCTTATCACCATAATGTTAAATACAAAGCTTTTGAAAAAGTGAGACGTGACTTACCCTTTGCAGGAGCACACCCTCTAATGTCAGGCAGGTTTGTACTGATTGTTACTCTTAAGCACTGGGTACATTCTTCTAGTCCTTTTCTGTGACTTGCATGGGTGTGCAATTTTTATAGCCACATAGAGGCCCAGACTCCATGTTCCCAGCCATGGGGGGGGGGGGGGGTGGCCACAGAGTCATCCTACCTGAGGCAGTCACAGTCCTCGGTGCCCTGAGTCCAGGCGCAGGTGCCAGTTGAGGGGAAGGGAGCTCGAGGGGGAGTGAAGCACTTGGAAGGATGTGTCATATTCAGAGAAGAGTGTCCAGGGCCCAGCTTGGCCTCAGTTTTGACATTCGCTCTTCATTTCTGTGGGCGTTGAGTTTCTGTGGATGGAGTTTGGGGATCTACAAACAAGGAGCACCTCTGACAGTCCTTTCTGAGTTAGTGGAATTGGAGATGTTTGGTTTTGCAAGGTCGGGCATGTCGGCTTTAACCCCTGTGCTGGGAGCGTCTCCCTTAGGCATTCTGGGTGGGGGGGTCTGGGATTACTGAGGCTTCCCAGCACCATCCATGGCAGAAGGGAGCCAGCTCTGTCCTAGTTGACATAAATGCCTCTTAGTTAGCTCACTTGTTCTTTAGGGCTGGGTTGATTCTCTAGCCTTTTTTTTTTTTTTTTTTTTTTAAGAAAAAGGATATAGTCAGTAATGGAATTCCAAATAGTGTTTCCTCTTTGCTTGGCTTTTAAGCAGAACCTGGGACACCATCCGTTTTCCGAGCACTTGTTTACTATGGAATGAGGCGGCCCCTCATCCCCGTACGTGCCTGTGCGTACTCCTGCTCAGCTGGTCGGCTGTCCTGGCATTGGATCTGCCCTGACCTCAGGGAGCCTCGCTTACCGCACCTTCAAATACTGGAGACCTGCCTCAGGATAGCCCTTGAGCAGGGCTGCTGGGCAAATGGGATTCTGGCTCCTGGGCAAATGAGGAGGTGTGGAGAACTTGGCTCTACCTGTTTGTTAAGCATGTCTCAGTAAGTGTCTCACATTTTTCTTTTCTTATATTTTTATTGATTTTAGAGAGAGAGGAGGGGAGAGAGAGAATCAGGTGCCTCCTGCACGCACTTTGATGGGGGCTTAAACTCGAAACCCGGGAATGTGCCCTGACCGGGAATCTAACCGCCGGTGACCTTTTGGTGCCCGGGACGACAACCAACTGAGCCACATCGGCCAGGGCAATAAGTGTCTCACATATTTAGACTTTTGAGCTGTGTTGCCAAGATTGAATTGCCTGAGTAGAGACATTTGGTAGGAGGAGACTAGAAAAGAAGCTCTTTATTAAAGGTCTAAAAATAGAATTCATTAAAGTCACAAATAGATAACAGTAGGATTCCCGGACTTGCTCTCCTCTGGGTTTATGCTGCCAGCTGTTGCTTCTGCTTACCTGGGGAAGGGTCAGCAGTATAGACTTGAACACTGTGTTTGCCGTCTGAACATGTGCGTTTCCCAGCTTGGAAAGTAGCTTAAACAGTGCTGGGCTCCTTGGCGCCGTGCCGGGGAGGAACCTTCGCAGGAAAAGGCCTTTTCTGCTCGCAGTTCCAGCCCTGGGCTGGCGGGGCCTGTGGTGTCCACGCCCCTCAGCGCCCTGAGGTTTTTCCCTCTGGCCGGGCAGTGCTGAGCAGAGAGGAGACTCCTGCACAGGCCGAGGAACCGCCCGATTGAATGGATGGCCCTCGGGGCTCCAGGCTGGTGTTTGAGGAGGGGAGGGGCTCCTTTTGATCCCGCAGCTGGGGAGGAAAATGGCTGCTCATGCTGCTGCTGACGCAGCCTCCCGTGCCCTTTCCCTCCGTGGGAGGGGGTGAAGGAATGTCCTGGCCTCCCTCCCTCCTGCCCTGAGCTTCCAGGGAGAATGGGGCCCATTGTGGCACAGCCCTGCTTCAGGCCTGCGGTGGCCTCTGTCCGCTGTGGTTCCTGGTGTTGGGGGTCCAGCAGGGCACACAGTCCCTCCTCATGCTGCGCTGCTGCTCGGAGTGCTTGGAGGATGGCTCCTGCTCCGTGTGCCCGATGTTGTCATGTCTTGGGGAGCATCCTGTGGACCCCTTGGCGGGCCTGAGCTCGCTCTCAGCAGGTCTGTGGCGTATTTGGGGAGGCAGGCCTGCCGCCCCGAGGGGGCCGAGGAGCTCGTGGGCCCGGGAGGCTGGGCGCTCCCTCCCAGCTTGTCTATGCTCTGAACCCCCTGGGGAGCAGAGGACTGTGCTTGTGTGTGTGACTGTGAAATTGGACTTTGAGGTCTTGTTTTTTAAATGTATTTTGGCCTTCAACTATATCTCAGTAAAGATGAGAAAGAATCATTTGGGCCTTAGTCAACAATAGTATTCTTTTTTTAAATATATATTTTTATTGATCTCAGAGAGGGAGAGATAGAAACATCAATGATGAGAGAGAATCATTGATTGGCTGCCTCCTGCATGCCCCACACTGGGGATCAAGCCTGCAACCCAGGCATGTGCCCTTGACCAGAATCGAACCCGGGACCCTTCAGTCCACAGGCCGATGCTCTATCCACTGAGCCAAACCAGCTAGGGCAACAATAGTATTCTTTGAAACATGTGAAATGCTAGAATATTCTCCAGGTAGGGGAAGCCACTGAATACCCTCATCAGTAGAACTGTGGCCCAAGGAAGGAACCTGTCTGAGGTACTGAGTCCCCGGGACCCCTCTCGTCCTGAAGTGAAGCCCTGATCTCTCTGCCTCAGGGACATGGGGACAGAATGTCCTCCCAGGAGCCACTCTGGTCCGTGCCTCGCCGCTCCGCCATTGAACCTGTTGTTACCACAGCTGTCCTTCTCCTTCCGGGGGAACTAAGAGTATGAGAGTTACTAGAGGCTGGACAGATTTCTTGGGTTGAGTGATGGGTTCAGGGCTGTTTTGGTTGTGCTTTATAATTACATGCGTGATAAATTCCTTATGCGTGCCAAGCATTTTATTAAAAGCAAACAGACCTGGACATGAGCTCACTGGTCCCTCCCGAAAGCAGCTCTGTCTCCACTGCTGGCCCGCCTGGGGCGCTTTGGTGCCCTGGGGGCTCCTGGGGGGTGCGCCTGGGAGCGCTGGCTGCTGTCGGGTGAGAAAGGGCTGTCGTCGCTGGAGGATGGAGGCCTGAGCTCACAGGACGCCCCTGTCCGGGGGTTTGAGGGGCCCCTCTGGTGCCGGTTGGTTTTCTTCAGCCGCAAGCACCAGTGAAGTAGGAGCAGGGACCGGCCGCCAGCGTGGCCATGGGAGTTGACTGACAGGACGTGCCTTTTTTTAATGTTTATTTCTGTTTAGTTATTAACAGCAGTGCCTGCCTCATGTGACCGCAGGGCTTCCTGGCTAGTCACTTAGAATAACTGACCTGCCGGCCCCCAGATGCATTACCCTGAGCCCCGGAGCGCGGGCTCTGGTTGAAGGGGCAGTGGCAGTGCTGTTCCTGGGCCTGTGATGGAGCTGAGCTGCAGGGTTGGAACTCCTTAGAGCAGGAATCTTAAGTGGTTTTCCTGTTGTTCATAGAGTGAACTTAATATGGGACGTCGGACCCTTGCTCTGAAGTCAGCACCCTCCCTGGAAACCTGGCCCGTGTGGGGCTCCCTTGTCTCCTCCAGGGCCACGTCAGCACGGGCTCGGGTGAGGACCCACATTCTGAGCAGGAAGAACTGTCGTAAGGACAGAAATTGGGAACCATGTAAAGCAGCGGTTCTCAACCTTCTGGCCCTTTAAATACAGATCCTCATGCTGTGATCCAACCATAACATTATTTTCGTTGCTACTTCATAACTGGAATGTTGCTACTGTTATGAATCGTCATGTAAATATCTGATATGAAGGATGGTCTTAGGTGACCCCTGGGAAAGGGTCGTTCGACCACCAAAGGGGTCGCGACCCACAGGTTGAGAACCACTGGTTTAAAGTTTCTCACATCGATGTTTCCCCCTCCCCCCCCTTCCTCTTCCCCCTCCCAATCAATAAAACATGTCCTCAGGTGAGGATTAAAAAAAAAAAAGACAATTTGGGTTCCAGCCTCTGATGATGAAGACCCTCTGATGATGAAGACACTGCAGTTTTTATTCTCTGTTGAGGGGGAGCTGCCCGTGGGTTTCGTCAGTTTCGGTGGAGGAGGCTTCAGGTGATTTCCAGATTGTAAAAGGCATTTGGTCTCTGACTCTGTGGTAGAGGCAAGTGAGGGTAGAGCTGTTTGTTATCAGATAAGAAATGACAGGTGGCCACGAGGGAAGCTTGAGACAAAGCTAAATGCGCCTCCAGATCCAGATCCTCTGATGGGGTGGAGGGAAGCAGAGCCCCGGCTGGGAGTCCGGAGGAGGCCCCTGGGCGGAGCTGATGCTCAGTCCCGCAGAAGAAGCCCCACTGGAGGCAAGTCCGTTTCTGTTACAGCCGCTCCCGCTCCTGATGGACCTTGGCCGGCTTATTGCAGCTTGGAGTCGGGGGTCGGGGGTCGGGGGGAGAAAGCAGGACACACAGAGGTGTACATAGTGATGTCCATGGTCCCAGCTAGTCCGCTCATGTAGGTTGTCTGAAGCACAGAAATGTGACACTAGTAAGAGTCAGAGGTGACTGAATTAAGACTGTTTGTGTTTTGTGTATATATATCTTATTTATTTATTAATATATTTTTATTGGTCTCAGGAAGGGAGAGGGAGAGAGAGAGAGAAACATCAGTGATGAGAGAGAATCATTGACCGGCTCCCTCCTGCACGTCCTGTACTGGGGATCAAGCCCACAAGCCAAGCATGTGCCTTTGACTGGAATTGAACCCAGGACCCTTCAGTCCACAGGCCGACACTTTCTCCACTGAGCCAAACTGGCCGGGCTTGTCTATATATATTTTCAATGTTTGTGTCAGGTCCTTTTCTAAGTGCTTTACATGCATTAGTAAGCTAATGAATCTATGTTTAGAATCGGAAAAGTTAAAGAAAAAAGGAATTTGATCTAGGAAGTGTTTAAAATTAAATAATGACTATTAAGCAGCTTTCTGAGCTAGGGTAACCTGTGGATTCTGGAGGGGACTGTCAGCTGACACCCAGTCCCTGGCGAGTGACCACAGGCAGACTGTGTGCCTCTGATTCATCGTAAGGGGAGTGGGGGCGGGGCTAGACCTACCTCCGAGGGTGCTGTGAGGAGTGAAGGTGAGGACCTGGGAGAGCTGACAGGCAGCGCTAGATCATTTTCAAAGCCCAGCTGACATTTGGGTGCACAAAGGGTGCGCCTTGGAAAGGGGAGGGGCTTGGCTGGGTTTGCTCAGCTGGAGGGGTAGGAGGCAAGGGGGTACTGTGTGCGGGCAGTGAGGGGGAGACTAGAGGCTCCTGTGGGGCCACATGGACCAGCTGTTCCGTTAGGAGGAAGGTTGCTGGAGGCTGAGGGACTCCTGTCCTGCTTGGTCCTCACCCGGGACGGGTTGGTCCGGACTGAATGGTGGCCTCACGTGTCCTAAGAAGATTGTGTTTTACACATTTTCTCTTGTTTGAGAGCTATTTTAGAGGAGTTTCCTGCTTCTCCATTGAGGGCACAGCCCCTGCAGTGAGGACATGGAGGAGGGGAGGGTGTAGGCGGAGGCTAGTCTCCCCTGTGCGCCATCAGGCCGGGGGGGCTTGGTGAGTGGAGGGAGGCTCTGCAGGCCGTGGTCATGGCCTCCCCGCTCCGGGTGCAGGGAGGCGTGTCCGCTGCCGGTGCTGCTGCCATGCGGGCCGGGGCTGAGGGTATGGGTATGTGGAGGTCAGGGTGAGGGCAGGCTCAGCTCCAGGTCCAGGAACTGGTCAGCATGCCGCAGCTTTCTGTGTGTAGCCCACCCTGTTGACCCCAGAATTTGAGGGGCAGCCTAAGCCTGTGCCTGGTAGAGAGACAGAGCCGCTGCCTGACCCCCTGTTGCTGTGAGGATGTGGGGTACAGGGCTGTGCTCATGGCTGGCCTGGCCCTTTGTCGTATAGTGAGCAGTGCCCTGCGGATGGGAATTGCCCTGAGAAGAGGTGTCATGGAGGAACCGGGGTTCCCTGGCCTTCCCTAGTGCTGGGCACAGAACATGTGCCGGTGCTGTTTTAGTTGGGCTGTTGTTTCACACATTTAAAATGTCATTTCTGTTCTACCTACGCGCTTTCGAAGCCGAGTAGATGCAGGTGTTTGCTCTTCTATGTCCCGAAGTTGCTTGGGCTGAGGAAGGAGGCAGGGTGCTGCCCTCTGTGCGGGCGGCCCGGCTGAGGCTTCCCGTGCGTCTGCCGAATGGTGACCGTGAGCCTGACGCTGGGAGCCCGCCTCGCCCGCCCGCATCTGTGCAGCTGGGCCCTCGACGCGGTGATGGCCTTTCCTCCGAGAAGCAAGGTTCCTGGGAAGGGAGATGAAACTATTTTTAATCTTAAGCAAACAGAGCCCAGTGTCGTAATTTCAGGCCCCAGCGTCTGACATTTTCTTCCTTTGTGACCCAAGGCACTTTTAAAAACAAAGTCCTTTTTTGTATATTTTGTGTGTGTAGTGTTTCTGGAGGACAATGCTTTTAAATACCCTCATTTCCCCTCAGAAAGCTGAGGGCTTGGGGGCCTGGTGGGCTGTGTTTGAATCATGCAGTCTGGGGTGGTGCTGGGCGAGAGGTCAGTGGGGGCGGGCTTCACCGCTGCCAGGGTTCACAGTGCTCCCCTCCTCCCCCTGCTCACAGCTCTGCTCCTCCTCCTCCTCCCCATGCTCACAGCTCTGCTCCTTTCCCCCCTGCTCACAGCTCTGCTTCTCCTCCTCCCACTGCTCACAGCTCTGCTCCTCCTCCCCCTGCTCACAGCTCTGCTCCTCCTCCCCACTGCCTTTTCCTTACCACTGTTTTCTTTCCATTTTACATGGCATGTGTTTTTGTAACTTTTTTAAAAAATATATTTTATTGATTTTTTTACAGAGAGGAAGGGAGAGAGATAGAGAGTTAGAAACATCGATGAGAGAGAAACATCGATCAGCTGCCTCCTGCACATCTCCCATTGGGGATATGCCCGCAACCAAGGTACATGCCCTTGACCGGAATCGAACCCGGGACCTTTCAGTCCGCAGGCCGACGCTCTATCCACTGAGCCAAACCGGTTTCGGCTGTTTTTGTAACTTTTAAATTTTGATATAACTTCAAACTTACAGAATAATTGCAAGTATAATAAAAGAACTCCTCAATACCTTTTGCCTTGAGTCAGCGTTTGTTGCCTTTCGCCTTGTTTGCTTCGCCATTCTCTTTTCTCTCTGTGCACCCCCCTGAACCATTTATGAGCAATTGGCAAACATGATGCCCCTTCATTGCTAAATACTTAATTGTGTGTTTCCTAAGAATAAGCACCTTCTCGTACATAACCACAGTTCATCTCCCAATAGGAGGCTTTCACCTTGGAGTCAGACCTGCGCTGTAGCCCACGCTCAGATTCCCTCATTGTCTATAGCATCTTCGATAGCCCCGTCCGAGCAGGCACGAGAGACTGGCTTGTCCTGCCGAGCGGCTCTGGCTAAGGAGGTCCTGGCAGTTTTCGCTGCGGGATGGTAGCTGTTTCCCTTTATTTGAAAAACAGTTATGGGGGGACCCTTTGAGGCCTGGTCCTCCTCAAACTTCGACCCTTACTTTCAGCTCCCATGATGCCGCCAAGGCCATCAGTCCCGTATTAGTTACCTGACTCTAAGAAGAGTTCCCTCCTTCGCCCATTTATTTATTCATTGGCTTATTTAGATGCGTTCAGATGGATAACTTGTCATTACTCATTTTGAAGCAAGCCTTGGGTGGCCAGCGCATCAGAAAGTGGTGTCTCCTGCTTCCCTCTTCCTGGGAATTCTCATGCCTGACCTTGGGCAGGGCCAGCAGGGTTTGAAGTGTAAAGCCAAGGGGAGGAATGAACTTGGATATAGTGCACATTTGAGGAAAAATATCGATTTGTGTTAATTCACCAACCAGATAGTTGTGGAGCAGCTGTTCCAGTGAAGGGCTGGTGGGCTGTTGCAGTGAGTGGGACGCGGAGTGAGTGGACACGGTCGTGCTGCTGGGGCCCCTGCGGCTCTGTGTTTAGGAGCACGTGCCGCGGACGAGTGGCCGAGGCTGGGCCTGCCAGGAGAGAGGAGAAGCTGCCGGTGGTGAGGAGGGCGCCTCAGGAGAGGAGGCTGCGAGCTGGTCCTGAAGATGAGAGAGCCCCGCGGCTTCCGTCCACGGCTCTGCAGGGCCTGCTGTCTAGCCCCGAACCAGCCTGAGTCGAGGACCCCGTGAATTCGCGCCTGTTCCAGCCCTCGGAACACCCAGTTTCGTGGGGAAAGGTTTTATTGAAAATCAAGGGAAGCTCATGTTTCTTGAGACTAATTCTCTACATAACAGCAAGCTTTTTCATCTTTATGGTGTTTTTCAATTGAGAAGAGGATGAAACACAAATGGAATGGAGTTGGAGTGACAGAGCCAATGTGCTGCTTTGTGATCTCGGCACTTAACGGAAAGGGAAGCAGACGCCGCAGAAGCAGGCAGGTGTTCCTGTGATACTCACCCAGCGTCTTTCCCCAAAGAACGAAACAAACAGCGAGGATCATCTATTTTGCCATTTGCCCGAGTTATCTGTGCTCATTGCTGCTGATCATTGTTGCGGCTGGTATTATTTTATTCCATATTTACCTAGAAAACAAGGTTTCTGAAAACAAACAGATTTGTGAAGTATTTTTTTCTATTTTTAAAAAATGGATACTTTTTAAAAATATGTTTTTATTGATTTTAGAGAGAGAGGAAGGGAGAGAGAAACATCAATCGGCTGCCTCTCACACTCACCCCTATTGGGGATTGCGCCCGCAACCTGGGCAAGAGCCCTGACTTGGAATCAAACTGGCAACCTTCCGGTGCATGGAACAGCGTTCAGCCAACTGAGCCACACTAACCAGGGCTAAAACAAACGAACAAACAATCCTGTTGGCCTAAAAGCCCTGCATCGCTCTGTTGCACCTGCTGTCCTCTGCTCTCTGGAGTGCTGGGACTCCGATGGTGGCCGGCCTCTTGCCTGTCCTATACCCAGAAGGCAGCCACACTTCCGGTTCTGCTGCTCAGGACCCCTGCTCTCCTGTGGAGGGGTAGATGGAGGTAGAACACGCCCCGTCTCCTTTGGGATGTTGTGGAAATGTTTCTCTAAAGCCTGCTGTGTCAGGCCCATCGCAAGCGCCGTGCATAACCGTTGAGAGGCCTGGGGCCCCGGCGCTGCAGTGGGTGCTGCGGAGTCAGTCACCCAGCAGGACATGCGCCTCGGGGAGGACCCAGGACCAGACAGGTGCGTGGGTCCTGTGGGAGACCGTGTCCCTTCCTGGGACCCGTAGTCAGTGTCAGATTTAATCCTCAGTCGTTAGTCTATAAAAGCAGAAGATAGCTGAGACCTCCCGATGCGTTGCAAGTATTTTGAAAAACAGATTTGCACACTTTCAGTTCGCCTTCTTAGAATGAACTTAGAATGGTTTCCAGAGCCTACAGTCCAGAAGCTGCTGCTGAAGTTCGCAGCTGCACTAACCCTGTGGTGTGAGGAGTGGAAACTCTGGTGTCAAGGTTGTGCATGTGACTTCCTGCTGCTTAGCCCCGTGCAAGGAGAGTCTGAGCTACCGAGTATCTGTAGATTGTGAAAGTATGAAGAAAGCTTGATTAAAAAACCAAGACAGCCCGGCCGGCGTGGCTCAGCGGTTGAGCGGCGACTTATGAACCAGGAGGTCACGGTTCGATTCCTGGTCAGGGCACATGCCCGGGTGGTGGGCTTGATCCCCAGGGCGGGCGTGCAGGAGGCAGCTGATCCATGATTCCCCTTCATCATTGATGTTTCTCTCTTTCCCTCCCCCTTCCTCTATGAAGTCAATTAAAAAAATATATGTGTATATAAAATCAAAAAACTTCTAGCTCTCTAGGTAAATGCTGTGTTTTTAGTTATTTTGCCCCACAGAAGCCTGCGTTTCCCTCTGGTCACTGCTGACTCTCTCTGTAACGGCCCCGGCTGGCAGGGGCCTGGGCTCTGCCTCCTCAGGATGAGAAGCACCTCCAGAGCCCTGGCTCCCTGGGCTCCCTCCGGTTCTGAGGCCGGGTGGTAGGTGGGACCCCGGAAGGGATCCGACAGGGGGATCCACAGAGAGTGAGTCAGGACAACTGCTTTTGCGACCATTTTTTCAACCAGGTCGGAAATGCTTCAAGCCCAGCCCGTCCTGTTGCCCGAGGATGAACTACTTGGTAAGGGTCCCAGTCCCTGTTGGCTGCTGCCCTGATTGTCTTGTCTCTGCATCTCCCACTTCCCCACACAGAAATCTTACCGAGGGATAACTAGGTGGAGAGACAAGTGTAGGACAGAGGCCAAATCCTGTGTTATCAGCCGAGCTCGGCCGGGCAGCTTAGTCTAAGACGGTAGAATCACAGCTCCGTCTGCGTTGTTCACTCCGTCTCTCTGCCTGGACTTGTCTGCTTTCGTGTTCTTGCCTGTGACTGACCGGGAAGCCTGGGAGGCCGGCGGTGGCCACCCCCAGGTTCCTCACAGGGTCCTCTCTTTTTTTTTTTGAGGCTAAATAGCATGTTATTAAACAATGAATGTTGTTGGGGTCCAACCTCAGCAGGTCCAGGGGTTCCCAAAGGTTTGGACAGAGTAGGCGAAGAAGGAATGACACAGAGGCAGCTTTCAGTTGATCATCATAGCCAGGTTCTCTCAGGGTCCTCTCTTTATCTCCGTGTGAGATCAATGCAGAGTGGAGGTTCCTGACTCTTGATTCAGTCTAAAGCCCACAGAACTTTTAAGATTCATTGGCCAACTTTCTACCATGAGAAAACATAAGATAAATTTTTCATGTACAAATGAGGTCCTTGAAGTAGTTACCTCCCAGCACAGACGGTTTACATAAAGGCCGTGGAAGGTAATGCGATGTGTTAGCAGCCAGTGGGAGGTTCGTGGGAAATGAACGTAAAGCATCTGAAGGCTCAGCTGTGGGCTGGTGGGATCTGCCCGCCGGGCGGTGAGAGCCGCCGGGGGCCCTGCTTGGCAATCAGACGCCGGCTCTGTTTGGTGAAGGAAAAGGTGCCTCCCCGGCACCAGGAGGTGCTGCCGCCACCGGAAAGTACGTCGTAGTTGCTTTCTCCCCAATGTCGGGAAGATGGAAAGCACAGCTGTACCTTTTATTAAGAGAAAAGGTCTTTTGCATTTGTCCTTTCCGTATCCCTTTCGGCTTTTACTATTTAAGCCTTGGATTCTAAAACGCAGGACTGAATTTCCAAGTCATTTCTCCTGAATGGAAACCCACTTTCCCCTTTGTGCTAAGGGAGCGATCCAAGCCCGCAGAAAGGGGAGGTAGAGGCAGTAGGAGGTGAGGCCAGGGGCCTCCAAGGTCGTCTTCAGTTGCGTCAACCCTGCAGTAGAGTCCCTGGTGGACAGCGGACGGCGGGGACCCCTGGGAGCGTGAGCAGGAGGAAAGCACTTGGGAGTAATGGGCTTTCTCTGTCTTCCTTGGTGTAGAGGTTCCTGGACTGGACACGATTCTCTGAATCTGTGCTGTGCTGAGCAGCGGCGTCCTGCTGGGAGGGCCAGGATGCGGGGTTGACAGGATCTGGCCCGGAGCTTTGCCTTCGCCAGTTCCCTGGGAACAAGCCTGAGGCGGGCACGGCGGGCCTGTCTGCCGGCTCCCCATTGGCCTTGCCCACTGCTTTATCGCCTGGTAGGGTGGCCCTGGCTCCAAAGTCAGCAAGACCATCTTCTGGCTGTTTTGCTCTAGACTTTGGATTTAAAAAAAAAAAAATTATTGGAGAGAGAAAGAGAGAGAAACATCAATTTCTTGTTCCACTTATTTATGCATTCATTGGTTGATTCTTGTATGTGCCCTGACCGGGGAGCGAACCTGCAACCTTGGCATGTCAGGATGATGCTCTAACCAGCTGAGCTCCCGGCCAGGGCTGTCCCAGCCTGGGAAGCACACCTCTGAAACCTCCCGGGAGGTTTGTGCTGGTTTGGGTTTTGTAGCTGTGGCACAGCCGAGGTAAGTAGAAGGGCCAATTAGACAGAGTCCTCTGTGGGAGGGAAGGAATTCTGCTCACAGAAAAGTCTGAGCAAAGGGAGTGAATGCTAGTTGTGTCTTGTCCTTTTAAAACAAGGCTTGTTGCTCTGTAAATTTCTAGGATGGTAGAAATGTTCTTGGTGGTTGAATCTGAAGAATGTGGCTCCAAACAGGAATGTGGCCAAGATCTGGTCACAACTTTAAACACTGACGGTTGAAGTTTTTGCCTAAGAAAACACTCAGCGCTTTACCGTGAAGGCGCAGGAACTCGCAGTCCCCAGGCGGACCCCCCGTTTGGCTCCGAGGCTGCATGGAGGGCTGCTGGCTGGGCCCGGGCTGCAGTACCTGGACCTGCGGAGGGAGCTGGGGGGCTGGGCCACCCTGCCATTTCCTCTCCCCAGTTCTGGAGTCTGATTAGCCAATTAGGTCAGGAAGGCCAGCAGTCAGCACACTTTTT